ATTGATCAAACAATAAACTTTCCTAAGAGTTTTACATGAGTCAATATAATCTCTATTGGTTTTTTTTTTTTTTTTTTTTTTTTTGGCTGGGGCTTTCGACATCTAGGTCATTTCAGCCCCCAACTAAGTCTATATTCTATACCTCTTCAAACACTACATTCATACAAATAAATACATTCATACACTTAAATACATCCATACAGTACACTCATTCGTTTGGTCGGTGGAGTACTTGATATTCCTCCACCGAAATATACTTAAACTAAACTAGATTGGGGTCGATGGGGTACTTTTATAAATATTCCGCCATCGACCCCGAACACACACTCTTACGCTCTCATCGTTCGAGGGGTGATGATGACGTTATATTTCACCCTCACCCCTCGCCATTCACGCTAATAAATACATGCACTCAGACAAAACATATAGACACACAACACATAAGACATACTATATACAATAAAAAAACCCAATTTCCTCTAAAAAGCGGAACAGGGGACTGAAACTCGCTACCGTGTTCGAGAACTCTTCTTAAGTCCGGCGGCATGCCTACACGCTCTCTGTATGGAGCCAAGGCATGACATGCCTCTATTATGTGGGACACATCGAGCAACCTTTCTCTGCATAAGGCTCTATTGTTCTATCAATCCAAAGTGGCTGTTAAAATGTAAAATTTCTTTGGAAAAGTATTTTGGTCATTTACATACTAATTTGTTATAAAAACTCATAAAAAAATCATAAATTCTTATTTTTTCTTCAATAAGTTGATAATTTAAAATTGATTTTTATCTTATTATTTATAATATTCAATTTTCATTTATTGTTAATATGCTGGTTTATTAATTAATAATATTTGTTGGTGACAGCTGAAGATGGAGTACGGGCAGAACCTCGAAATCGATCTATGTATAATACTTTAAAAAAATTAATCATTACTTTAGTTCAATAGAACCAACTAAAAAACATGGATAAAATAATTTTTTTTTAAAATTGTGTTTCTGCTTATCTCCGTCTATGTAATATTATAAATAATAAGACAAAAATTAATTTGTCATATTCAAATAAGAAGTTTTTTTAAAGTCAGGCATGACTCAAAAACGTTTGAACCTTTTAATATTTTTTGTTTGTGAGAGTTGATTCTATTTGTATAGTCATTTTTTCTAACAAAACAACTTAATTAGTTTATTTTTAAAACTGTTAATCCATCCATTGTTTGTTTTTATTATTAACTTCTTGTCATTTGGCTATCCTCCCGAAGCTTATTGGCGTAGCGTCAAAAAAAAATCTATTGACTCAAAATAGGCAATCCTCGAGCGATCGATGCCAAACAATATTGAGAATATTGTTTTCACATCTTTTAAATTACAAACTGCTTAATTAATTTTTACATTGTAAAACTACACTTGATAGTTATATGCAATATAGCATGTACTAATTTCGATTTGATTCATGTCTTCTTTAATCATTGGTTTGTCTGAAAGTTATATTTAAAAAAAAATTATTTACTTTTTTAATCAAATTATTTAAAATAATCATTTTCACCCTACACGATTTTTAGAAGAAATTTAGCCTAAACTGCTGATTATACCCGTAAAAATAGATCTATTGGTGTCATTTTGATTGCAAATTAGTAATCAAAATATGAGGTGACCGTTGATGAAACGAGTGTATTTACAATACTCCAGCGATATGCCACTTAAAAAATGGAAAAAACAATAGATGACCAGTATCGATTGTGCCTAGTGGAGGCAGAAACAACAGAACATATCCTTTCTAAATGCACGGCAATAGCAGGGAAAAGGCTATTGTACATAGGGTAGCCATTCATGAACAATGAAGACCTCGATACCATACCCCTGAGAGGAATTCTATACCTTATAAGGACAGAGAGATACAGAGATAATGTGTGCCTGTGTAGGAAGAAAAAAAATAAAGAATGAATGAACGAATGAATACTGTTTTATTGAATAAATACTCGCAAATTTAGGTCGCCCACCTCTCTTATAATCACTGAGAATAGATAAATAAATAGATAGATAGATCAGATAAATAGATAGATAGACAGATTGATAGATAGACAGATCTATAGAGAGATATATAGATAAATAGATAGACAGATAGATAGATAGACAGATAAATAGATACATAGATAAATAGATAGACAGATAGATAGATAGATAGATAGATAGATAGATAGATAGAGAGAGAGAGTGAGAGAGAGAGAGAGAGAAAGAGAGAGAAAGAGAGAGAAGGAGAGAAAGAGTGAGGGGGAGAAAGAAAACAATAATTGAAACTGAGGGATAGAGAGAAAGGGATAATGAGAGAGTGTATATAAGCGGGAGAAGGGGAAGGAGAGAAAGTGAGTGAGAGAGAGAGAGAGAGAGTGAGAGAGAGAGTGTGTGAGGGGGAAAAAGAAAACAATAATTGAAACTGAGGGGTAGAGAGAAAGCGATAATGAGAGAGTGTATATAAGCGGGAGAAGGGGAAGTAGAGAAAGTGGGAGTGAGGGGGGAGAAAGAAAACAATAATTGAAACTGAGGGATAGAGAGAAAGCGATAATGAGAGAGTGTATATAAGCGGGAAAAGGGGAAGGAGAGAAAGTGAGAGAGAGAAAGTGAGAGAGAGAGAGAGAGAAAGAGAGAGAGAGAGAGTGAGGGGAAAAAGAAAACAATAATTGAAACTGAGGGGTAGAGAGAAAGCGATAATGAGAGAGTGTATATAAGCGGGAGAAGGGAAGGGGAGAAAATGAGAGAGAGAGAGAGAGAGAGAGAGAGAGAGAGAGAGAGAGAGAGAGAGGAAGAAAGAAAACAATGATTGAAACTGAGGAATAGAGAGAAAGCGATAATGAGAAAGTGTATTTAAGCGGGAGAAGGAGAAGGAGAGAAAGGGAGGGACTGAGAGAGGAAGAGAGAGGCCTATTATTTAAAACAATACCATAATGATTATTAATAATTATAAATCATTGAGCAATTTGTATTACTTTCTTTCGTTGAGACACTTATTTTATCTAGTCATTGACTCTTAATTGCTTTGAATGGAAATTATACAAGAAATAGACGTTAATTCGTGTCATTTTCTAATTAATAGTTTGTCTAGTTCTAACCACAGTTATATTGTTTTATGCGTACCAATTAGAACAAAAATATATTTAACAGAGCGAAAAGAGGATAGAGAGAGTGATAAAGAGAGAATGTGAGAGAGGGAAGGGGCAAGAAAGAGAGAGAATGGGCGAGAAAGAGACTAAATGAGAATAAATTATTATCCAGGTCGTACGGCGCGGAATGTATCACTTTTGCGTGACCCTAGAGTTCAGCTGCTTTGGGTTATTCTCTTTCCTTTAAAAAGATTGCAAAAGAGTTCGTTGGCACACGATAATTAATGGATACATGTATTTTAGCAGGATGAAAAGAATGAGAGATAAATTAACCAAGTCAAGAAGGGAAAAAAGGGAGTGATAAAACGATTGAGATAGGTAGAGAAAGAAAAAATAAAGAGGAATGGTGTTAACCCATTCGAGAGGATCATTTTTCCACTTTAAATATTAATTTAACATTATTTTCTTTTTGTACAACCTAAAAAGAAGAGCATTTGTCGATGCTCTGACAAGGAATTCTGGGAAGAAAAAAAGGGATAAAAAAAGAAATTTAATGTGCCTAGGGATTACCTGATTACGTCTTTAGTCTATACGGGAAGTTTTGTTTCGTTTTTATTGCTTCATAATGGTTTCAATAGGCCTGATAAAAATATTTAGCAAATGTCCAAATTTATAAATATAAAATTTTTATTGTTTTAAATTGACTAGTTGACATAAAAACAATTATTAAAAATGCTATAATGTTAATTATTGTACATGGTTCAATTAATATTTATAATGTCTGCCTTTACGGCGCCAAAGGCCAACCATTTCTCAACGCACAGAAGTCGTGCGGGTTTAGCCTAGGGTACAAATTTTACAGGGGCTATTATTTAAAAAAATACATAATGTCTATCAATAATTATAAATAATGGAACAATTCGTAGTACTTTCTTTCATTGAGACACTTATTTTATCTAGTCATTGAGGCTTAATATATTTAATCATTTTCATGGAAATTGTCCAAGAAGCACACTATATTTGGTTCATCTTCTACTTACTATTTTGTCTAACCTAGCTTAGCTAGATTTGATATAGCCAGAGGGAAGAAAGAAAGAGAGAGAGAGAGAGAGAGAGAGTGAGAGAGAGAGAGAGAGAGAGAGAGCGATATAGAAAAAATGTGTGCCTGAGCGAAAGAAATAAGAGATATCTAGAAAAATTAGTAGTTATACTCGGGCATAATCAAAGCTTAAGTACTTAAATGCTAAACAAACCATTTCGATGACACGTAATTAGTTGGTGGTTGGATGAAAATTGATTTATAATTGTTGCAAGACAACAAATAAACATAATTAATAAAAGTAAGTTGTTGAACACAGTGAAATAGTAAGAATTCAAAAGTAGATTTGTTTTGAAGCCCGGTTGTTTTTATCTTTTCAATAGAAGGAAACAATAATTACTCATCTGGTTTTCTGTAAAGTTTTTCTCTTAAATGGCCTGTTCATCCATTTTCCCGTGGTTAAATGCGGCCGAAGGAACGCCGAGGATACATTGTTTCCCCCTTAACGAGTGGTCGTTGCTGAACCACCTCCGGAGCATAAATGCCACGTGTTTCGCCCTCGAAACCCCTCGAACGGCAAAAACGGCCGATTTGCCTTCCTTCTTCCATGAATTATGGAAAGCGACTCTGTTTTTGTTTTGTTTTTATAACACCTTACCATTCGTCTGGTTGGCGGATTAATAATAAATATGTAACCTAGCTTTTTTTTCAACATCCGATACTGTATCAAAATCACACATAACAAAAATTAATAAAATATTACAGACTACTATTTTTGTGAAAAAAAGTTCATACTCACTATGTTATGAAATATGTTATACTATAAAAATTAAGTCAGAATTTATGTTTTGGATTAGTTTTTCTTACCGAATGGGCAGAGGCATTGAAAAGTATTTCCTTCGTGCCCCTGAGAGATATCGACGCAGATTCCGTTGTTTTTGCATGGATTTCGGAAGCAAGAGTCCCATTCTTCGCAGTGTGGCCCAATGTAACCGTGGCAGCATTGACACTCGTAATCCTCCTAAAAATATAAGTTTAATATTTTAATATTATTTATAGAGAATTGACTTCTCGCTGATTTATACACAGACCCGTCACTAAAAATATCGCATGTATGTCAGAACAAAATATTGAAAATAGGCCGACCAAAATGTTCGGAAACGTCATAACTACAAACTTTAAACAGCACCACTATGAAAAATAGGAAGGGAAAAATGAACCTTCCGAAAAATTTAAAGAACACACAAATCAAACATGTGTGGTGATTAGTGACCGTTAGTGAATCGATAATAATTCAGAAATCGTGAGATGCGGTCTGGTCCAGACCGCACCTCACGATTTCTGAATAACAAATCAGACACTTTATTTACTCAGTTGAAAACGTAACGTAACAAAATAGTGAAATTAAAATTATTATAACACATCAAAACGCTCCAGACTTGGTCTATCAGACAACACAGAAAAATGGCAACATTGATCATCCAACCGCTTTTTTCCCACAGATTTCCTAAAGGAACGCGGCTAACAAAAGCTACACAAAAACTAGATATGCCGACAAATGCGAGACAAGACGAGCGAGGAGAGGCGGACCATGTCGATCGGATGCAAAGTAATCGTCTAGCAAATCTCCAGACAAAGTACGTTTAGTAAACCTAGTAAAATAACTGGAGAAACTATACAAAACTATCGTCAAAGTACGCAAACATTAGACAATATCTAACGCAAAGTCATGTAAAAATAAGAACACTACCTAAATAAATATATATTTAGTAGATAATACATTTTTAACATAACATAGTACAATGTGACTATATTAATTTTTATACTAAAACATGCACTCGTAATTATTAGGTACTATTAGGTTTTGTGCGTGTTAAAATGACCAATCACAAGAAGAGCATCCTTGATAAGTTTGTTTTTTGTAAGTCAATTTTGACCTAAGGATTTTTTTTGGTTCAACCGTCATAAAAAACAATAGTTGTAATTTTTGACATGCGCGTATTGTCATCTTTGTTGATAGTAATAAGAATTAATTTTTTATGTAAGGTATTGGTTGAGATAAAAAAAGTCGTGTCACGAGCAGGATTCGAACTCTAGGCCTTCGGCTCAATTAGCCGCTGATCTAAACACTTGAGCCATCGTGACTTCAAGTCTAACTTTCCAACTCAACTCATTCTCTCGAATTTTCCCTTCTTTTTGCCCTTTTTCAATTTTTTTTAATCTCAATTAATACCTTACATAATTGAAATTAATTAATTGAAAGATGTTATTTGGTCAATAGGTCTACGAAATCCAATGAATTTTAGTAATAGCAATGTTTGTTTGATGAAATAGGTTACCAAATCAGAATAGTATCTTTTTTGTGTAAAATCCATTCAAAAATACAAATCTTAAATTTTAAAAAAAGAAAAAAGAAGCAGTAAATTGGAAAGATTTTATTTTTTGTTTAAAAAGTAGCTTAAAACTTAAAACAAACAAACATACAAATAATATTAGATATAAATGTTTTTTCATTTGTTACGATTGAATGAACACACACTTCCTAAATACCACACTCCCTCACAATATTACTCGTTCCTTTAATTTATTACTCACTCACACCCTCAGTCATTTGCTCAATCATTCATTCTTTCGCTCTTTTACCACTACACTCTCTCAGTCACTCATTCACTTTCTCATTCACTTTCTCTTTCGCTCCTTCATTCACTCGCATCTCGGCCACTCACTCACCGACCCACTCTCTCATTCCATCACTCACTCCCTAACTCTTTACTCATTCACCCACTCTCTCCCTCACCCGATAAAAAGAAGGCGTCGAGCAGTGATGATACTGTTTATACTGTATTATCTAGATATTACTCAGTCACACACCGTTGCAAAAATAAGCGCTAATTCACGTAAAAATTTAAGAAATGGTATTTATACTGCAGTAAATATGTTGGATATAGTGTTTAAAAAGTAAAAAGCTGAAGTAGAAGAGTTAAAACAGAAAAACACCGAGCTGGGAGAACAAGCACCAACATGGATCATTCATTAATGTAGAATTAGAATCATTTATTCATTAACTCATTTGCTTCCTCACTCACGCAATCTCTCATTCACATACTCACTCACTCTTTATTTTACCCCCTCACTCTCTCTTTCACTCACGCATTCACCCTTTCATTCACTTTTTCACTTCTTTAATCATCTACTCACCGATCATTGACACATTCACTTCTTCACTCAGCACACCTCTTTCACTCGTTCCATTACTCTCTCTCTCTCTCTCTCCTCACTTCTTCATTCACCCGCTCACCAATTCATTCACTTCATCGCTCCTTTACTCACTCACACATTCTTTCGATTTTTTACTCCCTCACTCACTATCTAACTCACTCACTTTCTCGCTTTTTACTCCCTCACCATTCTTTCACTAACTGATCCACTTTTAACACTTTTATATATATACATAATACATATATNTATATATATATAATCGGTTAGACTGGCCCGGTTAAATTTATTATAAACGTATAAATATTTTCCGAAATATTGCCATATTTTATTTAAATGAGGCTTTAAAAAAATCGACCGTTAAACGCTGATATAGAAAAAGTCTTCCCATTAATCAAAACACTCACAGTATTAATTTCTGACAATTTTATCTTCGATTAAAAAAAAATCCCCCTGGGCCGCTGAATAGACTGTCAAACTTTAATAATATATCTTTACAAAGCTTAGACCATTAATCAACAGCCAGTTCCTTTATCTTGCGGTTTATGCTTATTTTTAAAACAAAAAGTGTTTTCTGATTTACAATTTTAAAATGATTTTTTCTCGGAAAAATAGTCAAGCAATAATTAATTATATATAAATATAATACTGAGAGACAGTAGATATTTAATAAAAGAATCCAGATAATACTTTATGTCATATATAAGAAAAGTAATTGGGGCTTTTTCATAATGCGAGTCGAATGCGCTCTGGCTATTCATAAATTGTTGATTAAATTTGCCGAATTCGACCACTGATATGATTGGGGCCAGGTAAAATTGAACCTTCTCAAAAGGATGGTGGGACATAATCCTTCCCAAGGCAGATAATCGAAGTTCGGAAATATACTATTCAGAAAGCCTGGGTGGGCAATGAGTTTATTCCGTATAATCGGGCTAGAGAATATAATAGCTTATTTATTTGAATTCCGTGAAGAGTTCCAAAGCTTTATGTATGAACAATAGGCACGAAAGCTTGTAAAATCCTCGGCCTATTAATTTTAGAACTTTTCCATTGTAATAACGAATCTCATTTATATAAACGTATATATCTGTCGAGTCGGGTTATCCCTGCTATAGGACTTCATAATTTTTTTTTGGGGAGGGGGTGTGATAAAACACAGCTAGAAATGAAGACAATTTTTATCACCCTTCCTCATAAAATTAATCGTACATCAAGCTACATATTTGAGAAGTTCACTAGTTTTCGTGGTCCGCTTGACCAATTAATAACTTTATATTAATTAAGGTTTTTAGTTGAGATAAAAAAGTCAATGTCACGAACGGGATTCGAACACACGATCTTCGGGTAAATACGTCCACTCGGACACTAACTTCCCATCTCAAACCCACCTTTTGAGTTTTCCCTCCTTTTTGCCATTTTTCAGATGTGTAATCTATTTGATTCTCGGCGACAAATGAAATGGCCACAGAGCGCTTTAGTGAAGATACTTATACTTCATTTTATCTTATTAAATTCACTAGTATTCGTGGTCCGCCTGACCAATTAATATCTTTCAATTAATTAAGGTTTTTTTTGGCTTCTTCCAAAGGAAAATTAAAATTAAATTTACAGAGTGACAACACACAAATAAACAAACAAAAAGTAAAGAAATAAAACAAAATCACAACACAACGCACTGTCTCTCTCTCTCTCTCTCTCTCTCTCTCTTTCTCTCACTCTGTCTCTGTCTCTCTCTTAATCCTACTAATTTTTTTCTGTTTCTCCAGCTGAGTTACAACATTTTATTATTCAACGGTAACCAACTCTCTCCTTTTTTTGTTCTACTTCTAGCATCCCAGTACGCGTGGAGAAAATAAGACAAATAATAAAAAAAATACATAGAAATAAGATAAAAACATGATAGTCAGGTTAGTATTCTCACGAACCAAGTTTACTCGATATCCTCGAGGCAAATATGCGCTTCCATTCACGCTAATAAATTACATTTACGCACCAGAGTGCATTCACCCTACCCCAGAGTACTTGATAGTCCTCAGGACAATTGAGACCCTTCATTCACACTAATGAATTACGTTTGTACATTTATTCTGACCACCTCAGAGTACTCTCTCTCTCACACACACACACACACACACACACACACACACTCCCACTCTCCTTCTCGCTTGTCAAATCCTTCTAGCTGATACGCTTAAAAAATATAACTGTGGGTAGTCAAGACAAAATATTGACTAGAAATGCAATAATTTCGTGGTCCGCTTGACCAATTAATTAACCACATTACAATTAATTAAGGTTTTTTAGTTGAAATAAAAAAGTCACTGTCACGAGCGGTATTCGAACCAACGACCTTCGGCTAGATACGCCGCTACTCTACCAGTTGAGCTATCATGACTTCGATCCACTCGGACACTGACTTTTTTTAAATCTCAACTAAAAACCTTAATTAATTGAAAGATATCTGAGAAGTTTAAACATTTTCTCACAAGCCATCCTCCTGTAGACAAAACCTTAGAACATTTCATAATATTTGTATATATAGTTTAGTTACATTCGAACCTTCTAGTTATCTCAAATCGAGATTTTCAAAAGATATCGGTTTGCTAACAAGTTTGTCTATTCAGCGGTTTGATTGGGCTAGCCTTTAATGTGCATACGATAAAATCTTACAACCGTTCTATTGTATTTTAAGTAGTTCCAGTATTATCAGCCAAATTTGAGCAATACAACTCTAACTCGATTAATTAAATAATTTATTGGAAATTATATTTTTTATATTTATTAAGTTTGTAAAGTCCATTATGGTAGATAATTACAATGGCGCATATTATATATCCAGGCATCGCCCTGTCTTTATAGACCAAGTATCTGTTAACACTTGCAAATTCAATGGGATGAAAAAATCAAATACTTAGGCGTTATTTTGGACAACAGGCTCAATTTCTCTAGTCACGTAAATGAAATCATAGAAAAGGGAAGGTGGCTACCTCTTTCCGCTTTTGTCCAACAACTCTGGACTCAATTTCAATAATAAACTCCTCCTTTACAAAATTGTCGTAAAGCCTGACCTCCTGTACGCCTACCCCGCGTGGAATTATACCTTCAGATCAAATTGGAAGAAGCTACAGTGCGCACAAACCAATCTTCTGAGGCTGGTAACCTCTTCGAGCCGCCGAGCTAAAATTAGTCTCTTACATGAGGGCACAAACATGAGATTGATATACGACGAAGCTACACGGCTGACTGAAAACTTTTTCAATAAACTGATTGAGCACAGAAATCTTACATGCCAAGACATTGGAACGTACCCTGCAAATACGATGTGGAAGCACAGGAGAATAAAAAAATATATTAAACTAGTAATCAGGCTAATATATGGGTAAAGATGCGTATGTATGTGCGTGTAGGCACTCTGCAATCTTGTAAATTATGTATTCGAACGTGTATATATATGTACATACGTTGCATATTTGTTTAATTATTAATCTTTTAATTTATTAATGTATTTATCTTATTTGTTTTTTATTAATTAATTTATTCATTTATTTGCTTATTTTTTTAATTTGATTAAACTTAAATTGATTATCCTACTTTTTATGCCAAGTTACTGTTATATTTTATTATTTTTATGTTGTTATTGTATTTACACATATCATTTACTCCTGTGACATCTCTAAAGCTACTCAATGCAATATATACCTGATTTCATTTTGCTTATATCCTATATTTGTGTTTTTGTTTGTAATTTTTCACGAGCACAATATTGTTAAAACTCAACATTTAGAGTAGGGATCAAATAGATCAATTAATGTAACGGGATCTAATATTGCCCCGCATTTCCCCTGAAACTTAAAGGAATGTGTAATATGTAAATTTATTTTTTTAGATCTCTCTCTCCTTTTTTTTAGATCTAATCTAATCTGATATCATATATGTGTGTATGCATAAATGTATATGATTTTTTCTTGTGATATATTATATAGTANCCCAGCATATATATGAGAACATTAAATTCACTTCTGAAATACATAATATAAATACGAAATATAAAGATAGGCATATATATGTACAAAAACATATAACAAAAACATTTAGTAATTCTTTTATAGTGAAAGGTGCCAAAACGTTCTCTAAACTCCCAAACTGCATGTAGAAATGTAATAAAATAGAAAGTTTTAAAAAACAATTAAAAACTCGGCTACTTTCAAAGTATGTGCGAGATTAGTGAGAAAAATTAAAGAACAAAATGTTCTTTTATTTTTATTATGTTAATTACTATTGTTAATTTAATAACTAAGTTTATGTATATTTAATCACTGTTATAATATATGTAAAAATTAAGGTTAATTCAATTTAAAACTATGCTTAATTTAAATCATAATACTGTCGGACATTTTAATATCCCTCTGTTAATAAGTACTTATAAATACCCTGTAAAAGAAAGTTCACGTATTTTACTTTGTCCTGAAGAAATTTTATTTTTTATTTTGAAAAGCAAAATTTAATTTTTTTAGTTATTGTTATGTTATTTGTCGTTCGCCTTCTTGTTAATATGTAAACAGATTATGTAATATTATACAATCAATTGGTCAAAGTGTAAAACCAAGGAATATATTTTTGTTTTATGTACTTCTAAAAGATTGAGTAGAGTAAGTGTAAAAATAAATGTACTTCTCTTTAGATGTAAGAGTGGTCCTCGAGACCAAATCTTGAGAGATTATGTAAATAAAGCGATATCAATCAATCTCTCTCTCTCTCTCTCTCTCTCTTTCACACACACACCGATTATCGTATCGTGTAAAATATAGATTTTTTTTCTTATTGTGGATCGCTAATATTTTACAAAACACAAATATACAAGATAAAATAAAAAAGGCAACAACATTTTCCATACTTTAAGTTTTAGTTAATGTTTATGATGTCAATTAGTAAAACAGTAGTTTTTTCTTCTAAGCTTTACTATATGTGATTATAATGATATCACTACACCAAAATTAAATTTACAGAGTGACAACACACAAATAAACAAACAAAAAGTAAAGAAATAAAACAAAATCACAACACAACGCACTGTCTCTCTCTCTCTCTCTCTCTCTCTCTCTTTCTCTCACTCTGTCTCTGTCTCTCTCTTAATCCTACTAATTTTTTTCTGTTTCTCCAGCTGAGTTACAACATTTTATTATTCAACGGTAACCAACTCTCTCCTTTTTTTGTTCTACTTCTAGCATCCCAGTACGCGTGGAGAAAATAAGACAAATAATAAAAAAAATACATAGAAATAAGATAAAAACATGATAGTCAGGTTAGTATTCTCACGAACCAAGTTTACTCGATATCCTCGAGGCAAATATGCGCTTCCATTCACGCTAATAAATTACATTTACGCACCAGAGTGCATTCACCCTACCCCAGAGTACTTGATAGTCCTCAGGACAATTGAGACCCTTCATTCACACTAATGAATTACGTTTGTACATTTATTCTGACCACCTCAGAGTACTCTCTCTCTCACACACACACACACACACACACACACACACACTCCCACTCTCCTTCTCGCTTGTCAAATCCTTCTAGCTGATACGCTTAAAAATATAACTGTGGGTATACAAGACAAAATATTGACTAGAAAATGACACCAAATATACATTTATTTGTTGGGACAAGTNCTCACACACACACACACACACACCTTCTCGCTTGGCAAATCATTCTAGCTGATACGCTTAAAAATATAACTGTGGGTATACAAGACAAAATATTGACTAGAAAATGACACCAAATATACATTTATTTGTTGGGACAAGTATTATTGTATTTCCATTAAAACCTTCTAGACTTATTATGGCTCAATGACTACATAAAATAAGTGTCTCAATGAAACAAAGGACTACGAATTCCTCAATTATATATAATTATTGCTAGACTTTATGTATTGTTGTAAATAATAGCCATTGTACAAATTTGTACGCTAGGCTAAACCCGCACGACTTCTGGGCGTTGTGAAATTGTTGGCCTTTGGCGCCGTGAAGGCAGACAATAAATCTCCCTCCCTCTCTCCCTCCCTCTCTCCCACACTTTCTCTCTCTCTTTCTCTTTCTCTCTCTCTCTCTCTCTCTCTCTCTCTCTCTCTCTCTCTCTCTTTCTCTCTTCATTTTTGTTTTTAATAACAGAAACGTTTTTGTGTTAGCTGCTTACAATAAGAGAAAAAGTTTGATTAAATATGTAACGTACAAATTGTACGTAAAATATAGTAAATTGATGAACAAATTCGAAGACACACAACTCGATCCCTACACGCACATGGCTCTTTCTGTAAACAGTTGAAGAAAAATGTAGAAAAACCTTTTTCTCAATTTTTTATTTTATTTCAGTATTATTTTCACTGGAATGTTGTGGTTCTGTTTATTTTTTTCCCGTTGTTGTGTTTTAAATCTTAAATCCATGTTAACATCTCCTGAGAATATTTCTTTCTCTTTCAATTAAATTTTAGCCCTTTGTAGACTCAAACAACAGAAGAAATAACAGTTAATTGCTTGCAATAGTAATTTCTACCAGTTCGGTAAATTTTTTAATTTGAAATAAGGCCAAATAAAAGTTAAAAGATTACCATAGAGGAATTTGTGTAGCAGGCTCCCTTCTTCGAACAGTTTTCGCTGTCTCCACAATTATTAGACTTAACTGTTACTTTTATCTTTGCGCAGCGACCGCCCCAACTTCCTGAAACAACTGTAACAAAAAGTTAGTTTTAGTATGAAAAAATGACCTAATGGGCTAGAAATGATTAAGATAAGGTGGGCTTTTATGAAGAATTCGCTTGGCTACTTCGTAATCCTTTTATTTCAAATAGGATAATAATTTTTTTTAGTAATGAAAAACAGCACAGTTAAAAACAGATTTAAAAGGCTCGGAATGCATTCACCATGCTGCCCCCAGGGTTGCTCCATTAATTAAAAATCACGGAGTTTTGGAAAATCAGTAAAAAGTACAATAAATTAATATTCTCAGTGGATTTTTTGCGCGCTAGAAAGGGCTGAAAGCTTTGTACATCGACAGTCAGTTAATTAAGCATTGAGGTATAATGTTCCCCGTCAAAATTACGTTTCTCTGGAGGGCTTTATCGATCTGGCAAACCAACGTGCAGAGGTAAAACATAAAATAAAGGCTTTATGAGCAAACCGCACAATGCATTTTGTGCTTCCATGCCCTTTTCTATGTTGGCTCGTGTGTTTGATCTAAAGTTGGGTCCGCACCTATAAAAATTTACGCCGAATACAACGCACATCGTAAATTTTTGTTCATGCCCGGGAATTTCAGTGAGTGTGGACGTGACAACCCCAAGAATTTATCCCACATTCAACGCACTCGCTCCGGGATAAAGTCGGATTTTTGACGACCATCAAAGGATTTTTGCCGCATACAGGCTCTCTATGAGGACGCCTCTGCAGTACGAATGATTGTCCGCCAGTCTTCCTACTTTCAGTCTTCATTAAGAGCTATGTAGTTAATTAACAAATCTGTATTTTTTGGGTCCTTCGAAATGACTGATTTATAAACAAAGTATACAGCTTTCATATTTCTTGATTTTGTTAAAATACCAGTTACTTTTGGTGTTTAGTGACCGTTAGTCAATGATTATTTGGAGATCGTGAGATGAGGTCTGGTGTGACGTAGGTTTCAGGAAAACATTTTCTTTATCGTGCCAACGTTTCGATCTTTATTGAAATCATCTTCAGGGCCTGGGATTTATAAACATTGTTTGAATTTCACAAATACATGTAGGATGTGGAAAAAAATTATGAATTTATACAATGCTAGAACATTTTAGATTAAAAAAATTTCCACATTGCTAAAACAATCTAAAATTTTTTAACATTGTATAAATTTAATTTTTTTAAATCTAAAATTTTCTAGCATTGTATAAACTCATAAGTTTTTTTAATCTAAAAAAATCTACAATTTATTAGCATTGTATAAATTTCATTTTTTTAATCTTAAATTTTGTAGCATTGTACAATTACATAATTTTTCCACATCCTACATGGAATTAGAGAATTACACATTCCTTGTTTAATTCCATCACTTTTTTTTAGTCTACATGCGAAGTTTTGTTTCCTTTTTCTGGCTTCATAATGGTTTCAATATTAGCCTGATAGAAATAATTAGTAAATGTCCAAATTTATAAATATAAAATTTTTATTGTTTAAAATTGACTAGTTGACATGAAAACAAATATTAAAAATGCTATTATGTTAATTGTTGTACATTTTTTTAAATTAACATTTATATTGTCTGCCTTTACGGCGCCAAAGGCCAACCTTTCTCTCAACGCACAGAAGTCGTGCGGGTTTAGCCTATGGCACTAATTTGTACAGCAAGGGCTGTTTTTACTTTTTTTTCAAGGATTCGCAACAGCAAAGGTTAAATAAACTCTCAGGGTGCCGGTGTTTTAGAAAAAAAGCACATTGTAAGTATGTCGGGTTCGAATCCAGCGGCCCTGCATTCGAACCCGGGACCTTTACCTTTCATCACCACGCCAAAACCGTTGCGGCCACCGACGCCCCGATTTACATCACTAAACACAGACACAAACAATCTGTTCAGGAGCTTTGATAACGAAAACAACCATAATTCGTTACAAAAACCTTCTGTTGAAATAGTCACCCTCTCCCGAAAGGTAAAAATATTGATTATTTTGCAGCCTACCACGATAAAAAATAATATGAGAAAATGCGTGATAAAATATATTTGGTAAATGATAAGAAAAACAAGCATTCCGATTACAAAACGGACTTTAAAAGCCTGTTAGAAGTAACTTGATGTTCACCAGGGGATAAAGCTAATAAGGGCCGGAAAGATGCGGCGGACAAAAGAATCTATCCGAGTTTTCCTGATGTTTTTTTTTTCTCTTCTTTTATTTCACTAAAGTTTATAACGAGAAAAATACGTCTCATAACAAATTCGACCACGGTGCGTCAATATCAAAGCTTTAAACTGAGAAAAGTTTCGGCGTACTGAATTTATGAGGCATCTATCACAGACCCGAGAAGGTTGATATCCGCCGGCCTCGAGCCGGTTTTTTTCCCTTTTCCTTAAGAAAATATGAAGAAAATTAGGCAACTCCCTAAAGTTTCTTTTAGCTGGGCGCCAATTTTTTGAACGTTCGATGAACGATGAATTTTTTAATGAATTTAAAGAGTGTTGAAGTATCGAGTATTCATCTGTAATTAAATAGTACTTTTTTAATTACAAAATAATATTAAAAGGTACAAAATTTGATAAGTTAACGATCTTAAAAGTAATGTAAAATTTCTAATATTGTTTTGAACTATTTCATTTTCTGTATCGGTTTAAAAATTCCACCCTCTTCCCTTCACCAATCATGTCGAATTCCTTTTAAGGTTATCGGAATTTCGAGGAATGCCTTTGTTATTGGAAGCTCACGATTTCTGTACACTTATAGCCTTGTCGGCAGCGACTACGGTTAGGAGGGATGCCCAATAATGAAGGCTTCCGGAGAATTCTCCATTTTGCCTAGCCCTTGTCTGGCCGAGAAGGGATTCTCGTCTAACATTTTAACATAGACGATCGGGGAAAATCGTAGTGACTAAGCAATTTTGCCCAGGAATGGCCTCGAAATGTAATGAAAGCCTTGCGTTTTGTCAAAGGATGATTTTAATTGCAGCCCTTATATGCAAATCCTGCACCGTGCTGTACCTGAACTTAATTAACTCAATTTGGGGTCCTGACAAGTTTTCGAATTAAAAACTTCTTTCTCAGCATGAATTTTCTTTCTTCTTCGAAAAAACGGTTTATCCAAACATACAATATTTTCCATGGAATAAATATTTATATATCGGACTTTATATATCCTAATTTAGACAGTTATCGATCTTGAGGTTAAGTAAATTGAGATGTTTAATTCAATTTATTCCCTTGTCATCAAATATTGGTTGCCAAGCCGATTCTTTCTCAGAAAACTTATTCCAATTTCTTTTCACAAACAAGAAAGACGATGTATTAAAAATGAGATGTTTACGGAGCATCTGATATTGTAATTCGGGACGAGTTATTTGAAAGGGAAATTTTCAATAGATGAGTCTTTTCTTAGCTGGCTCTGCAAAATTGAATTGCGAGGGGGGTCTTACAAGAGGGGAGAGAACGCTGATTGAGGATTCAGACGATTTTTATTTGTCCCATAAATCATCGATTTGCTTGTTGTTAATCTTTATTTTTTAATATGAGAGATAAATGTAAAATAACTTTGTTAGATAAAACAAATAAGAGGTGTTCTTTTAAACATGATTGGATACTCATATATCATTTCATTTCACGTCACAGCCACCTTATTACTTTGCTTACTTATTACTTCATTTTGACGTAGACATTTTACACAGAGAAATGTGTGTTCTATTTTTTATATTTTAGTTAGGTGTTTCCACATTAAGACTCAAAGCTTTTAATTTCCGGCCAATTCATAAAATCCCTAGGTAGTAAATAATTGCTATATTTAATAACAAGCAAATTATTTAGATTTGTATTTAAAAATAGGTATGCGAAAAACGACATATGCGCATCGGCGACTTGAAACCATTGAGAATTTATCAAAAGGAAAAAAAAGCACATCGAACGTTAACCGTTGATGTTTACATAACATTGGGTAGTTTGAAGTTAATAATCAGATATGATCATCAACAGTAAAAAATGAGAGGTAGATGGAATGGAGCAGCCGGTTATCGGCGTTCAAAAAACATTCATCAACCACAAAAGATCTATGTCTCGATACGATCCTACAGCCTAACATCGATTGTCTCATTTAAAACGAGAGTATCTCGATACTGTCAGGAGCACCACGTCAATGATCAAAGATTGAATATTAAACGAAAATCATCTATGTCTCGATGATATCAGGAGTTTGCCGCAGGTGATTAAACACTGCTAATCAAAAGTGAAATACCAATGTTTCGGTGATATGAGCAGCTTGCCGCGGATGATTAAAGACTGCTAATCAAAAGTGAAATACCAATGTTTCGATGCTATCAGGAGCATCACATCATTGGTGAAACTTTGAATATGAAAAGTAAAACAAAGTAGTTTCGATATTGTCAGAAGCTTTCCTCAGATTTTTAAACTCTGAAAATCACAAGTAAAACTCTATGTTAACACCTATCTATGTTAACACCTATCTATGTTAACACCTATCTTTCGATGATATCAGGAACATCAAAAATCGAACATTAAAAGTAAATCATAAGTGTCTCAATACTATGTGGGGTTGAACGTCAAACATCAAAAGGGAAACACTAATGGTTTGAAGTTATCAGAAAAATCAGATCAAGGTCAAACATTAAACAATAAAAGTAAAACATCGATGTTTCGATACTATCAAGAGCTTGACATAAATGAACAAACAATGAATATTAAACGTAAAACATCTATGTCTCGATGATATCATGAGTTTGTCGCAGATGATTAAACACTGCTAATCAAAAGTGAAATACCAATGTTTCAATACTGCCAGGAGCACCATGTCAATGGTCATACTTTGAATATGAAAAGTAAAGTAAAGTAGTTTCGATATTGTCAGAAGCTTTCCACAAATTTTTAAACTTTGGAAATCACAAGTAAAACTTTAATGGTTCTTTCGCTGTTGTCAAGAGCAAAAAAATCGAACATTAAAAGTAAATCATAAGTGTCTCAATACTATGTGGGGTTGAACATCGTACATCAAAAGGGAAACACTAATTGTTTAATGTTATCAGGAAAATCAGATCAAGGTCAAACATTAAACATTAAAAGTAAAACATCGATGTTTCGATACTATCAAGAGCTTGACATAAAGTAACAAACATCAAAAGTAAACCATAAATGTGTCGATACAATCAACTATTTGCGACCGATGAATAAACAGCAAACATTGAAAGGAAAACACCAATGGTTCGCTGTTAACAGGAAGATCAGATTAATTGTCAAACATACTAAAAGGAAGTTGATAATATCGGGGGCCTGCCACAAATGGTCAAACATCAACATTACAAAGAAAACATTTAGTTCGATGTTATCAGGAAGAGAGGCTCATGGTCAAACAGTAAACATTAAAAGTAAGATATCAATGTTTCAATGCAATGTGGGGTTTCACATCATTGGGTAAACTTCGTACATCTATGCCTCGATAATAAATATTTGACATCTTCAATATTATGGTCAAACTAGCACAAGTAGTGATTAGCAAAACATTGATGTCTAAATAATATCTGCTAGGTTCACATTATCGACAAACATCATTCAGCAATATTGTATAAATATGTCTCGACGTTACCGTTTTACACATTGTCAAACAAACATCGACCTAAAAATATCAATATCACGATATTATCTCCAGCTGGAGATTATTGGCCGAACAATGAACCACAACAAGAAACAATAATAATATAACGCAGATTATCATCGATAGTCAAATATCAAAAGTAAGACGTGTCTTTATGATCATGGAGTTTAGGATGGTTGATCATTGTCGTCAATTTGCCGCATAATTTTCAAACACAAAGGTTTTTTGTTAATGGTCGATAATTGATCGTAACAGTTTTCTCCAACCTAAACCTTTCATAAAATAATCAATATTACGTTTTATAACTTCGAAGGATAAATCATAATGAATAGCCGGTGAATCCTGGACCTTCTGGTTCAGTACAGTAAAAACAGAATTGACTAACTAGAGTTACAATATTATGATCCAGACTATCGTATCAATCATATAATTACAGTTCATTTATATAAGCATTTTATATTTTGTTTAAGTTGTAAATATCAACTCGGAGTATTCAAAAAACAAAAAATTTAGATTTATTGTAATTACTTAGAAGCATGTTGATTCCCTCGGTGAGGTCTTTTTCGTAGAAGGTGAGCAGGTTGCTGCCGTCGATGGCCATGTACACGACGTCGAGTGGTACGCCATCCGAGGTGTCGCATGTAGTCGGACCAGGCCTGGAGACGGAGAAGACTCGAACGGGTGCGACAGTCGGAGCTGGTGACACCGTCGTGGCTGATGGGGTCGTCGCCGGGGGTACGCTGCTAGTCCCGTTCTCTTTATCATCAGTGATATTCAGATAGACCTGGAGGATATCACCGCTCTGTATGTCGATGCTGCTTTCGACGATCGTGTCCTGGCCGCAGGTTCCGACATCCGTGCAGTTTCCTGAATTGTCCTGAAAAAATCGAAAATAGAATTATTAAACGCCGATGAAAAAAATGGTTGGTTTCTTGATTGAATTTTTTAAGAAATCAAAATAAAAAAAGGGATAATATCAATTCTAAGGATGAATAATTCGAAGAATAAGGAAATTCAATAGAAAAGTAAAATATTTAATTTTAAACTTAGATACTATTTTATTTATAAAAAATCAATATCAAAAGAATTTTCATGTTTTGTATAATATATCTATTTTTATGTGTTTTTACAGTTAAAACTCAAAGGTTCCTCAATAATCGGGCCGAGTTAAGCGGATCAGCTTACAATAGAACAAAGCAAGTCCTGTTGACCCTCGACGTTATCAAACGGCTTTGATGTTATGTCAGCCTGTTGTCCTCAAAACGCAAATATTCGATTATCTTGGATTCTTCGTCTCCCTCTCCACAGTTATGTCGTTTCTTCCCATCGGATTTTGCACGTTTGCAAAAGTGTTCGATCTGGCCGATATACACGTAGACGACGTTTTACATATTTCGGAGGGGTGATCCACAAAACCTAACAAACGATGAACTCTTGAGAAACGTTCCCTGTCTCACAACAAATTTTCGCTTTATAAATCGACTGTATGATTCCCTACATACTTAGAAACAGTGATTTTATAACGCTAATCAATTTAATAATATCAATAAAATTAATATGTCTTTAATACATAGAAATATTCAACCAAAAGTTAAATTTGAATAAATATATTTTAACTCTCTTAATTCATCAAACATGATTTAGACAATAAGAAATCATGATTATTTAGTACTTACAATTAATTAAGGTTTTTAGTTGAAATAAAAAAGTCAATGGCACGAGCGGGATTCGAACCCACGACCTTCGGCTAGATACGCCGCTGTTCTACCACTTGAGCTATCGTGACCTCGATCCACTCGAGCACCAACTTCCCATCTCAACCGCACCTTTTGAATTTTCCCTCCTTTTTGCCATTTTTCAAATGTCGTGTAATCGGATTAGATTCTCGACGACAAATGAAATGGCCACGGAGAGCTTTAGTGAAGTATACTTCATTTTCAATCATGGCATCAAAAATTGACTTTTTTATTTCAACTAAAAACCTTAATTAATTGTAATATATTAATTGGTCAAGCGGACCACGAAATTAGTGAATTTAATTATTTAGTACTGTATTCTAGTGGCAGACCAACAACAACAATTTGTAAAATTTTTTCAATGGTTTTGTTAAACAGACTGGTCATTAAGCTCGTTAAGAAAACCAACCCGTGGGCCATGGGGAAATTGGACAGAAAGGAAAGAAGATTAACGATTCGATTGCGAATAGGCTACACCAGGGTGACATCTCCTCGCTTAAAAAAGGCTACGGAGACGTCCTCTGAGCGGTGCACAAGTAATTGTTAAACTTTCTATTGCTATATCAGTTTTAAAATTTAGAATTGATTATTTAATTAGAATTGAAATTTAATTATATGCCTGAAATGAATAAATGCATATGGTTGCATTTGAAGTCTGTTTCACGCGTGGTTATACCTTTTTGAGTAAATATATTTATTAGCTTGAGTGCTTCGATTATAGGAGGGTGGTTTGTTGTGATATAAAATACTATAATAACTAATTATAATATATACTATATTATATTATACTATAGTACTAGTAGTGGTAATAAAGTTACAGTTTAGTTAGCTGGCTACTGGACAATATTTTTGACCGCATAGACTGTGTGAAAGAAGTTTTGTATGAATGTATTTATTAGCGTAAATAAAGTAGTTATCTCAACAAAATATTGAGCACTCTGAGAGCACTGAATTACATTAGGTATACAGGGTGTCCTTTTCAGGTATCCGGTATGTTTAATATTTTTTAGCCTTCTTTTTAAAGAAAAATTATACGCGGTACTTCAGGCCCAGTTGACCGTCAAAATTTCAAATATTTTTAGACCCTATACATCCTGACACATAATTTTAAAGGATTTTTTATAGTGAAAACAATGGTGCAATCGGATTTTAAATTGGTCAAAAAATGACAAAGTTATTGCAAATAGAAACGGGCAGAGTAATTTCGACGAGGAGATGAATATTTTAGTGTATGTTCGCGAAAATCCGAATTTTGGTTTTTCAAAAAATAAAACGAGACTTGTAATTTTAAGCCGTATCGCTCGCATCTTGTCCAGGGACTTCGGGATTCTGATTACAATAGGCGTTTAACGTCCCTTGCACAAATGTCGATTTGGGAGGATGAAGAAGTTCTTCCATCCTATGGACTGATGATCAAGTTCCTACCTCTACACACCGTTGAAATTTTCGAACAAGGGGAGAGGAAAATCCGAGAATTTTGTATTCTTCATATCATTAGATGGTTCACAGTATCAACGTTTCGTGTGGATTTCTCGGAAATAAATTAATTGGGCCTTAATTCTACGAACATAATTTAACCCTGTACATCCTGCACATCATTTTAAAGGAGTTTTTACGCTGAAAACAATGGTGCATATTGCGTTTTTCATTGGTCGAAAAATGACAAAGTGATGGCCAAAAGTTAGAAAACAGCGAATTTCTTTTTAATTCCGATAATTTGCTTCTTCACTAAAGTAAGCATTAATTGCTTTTATTGTTTCCATTCTGTCATTATTTGTCAACTCGCATTATGTGAGCAAATCTTAATTCATGGAAGTAAATAAATTTTACAAAAGAACTATTCGTTACATTCAGTATTCCATTCCAGCGTCATTGGCTCAAGAGAAATTCACCCATGCCTTCTAAAAAGGACACCCTGGGTATGCGTGTATTTTAAATGTATTGTTTAAGCTTAGACCCATTTAATTTCAAGACATTGTGTCCTTATACACCAAGTGTTGCTTGTTTTTATACATAAACTGGGAGATTTGCCGATATGCATATTCTCAAACGGCCAAGTAACACTGAAGGATTTAAAATTTTTAATATCAACCCAAAGCTGTTCTAGGAATGCTTATCTCAAACTCCTGGATAAACGCAACCAGGTAACTGTAATGGTAAAAAAATAATTATAAAATTCAACTAATTTAAAATTCTCATTAAAGCATTACCTAAAAAACTAAACTAAGTTTTTCAAATTAAATCAGGGGCATGGAAAAAAATAGCTCCATATTAGACGAGGTCGAAGAAGTAACGCTTTTAGAGCTATGACCCGCTATATACACAGTAAATAACAAAAACAACTGCATTTTTGTTGTTGTGAGTGTGGAAAAATAATTTTCAGAGTAAAGGTCGATTTTATTATATACGAGTTTTGTTTCATGTGGGTTATTTTTTTGTACGAAGACCTCTCAAGAGGACGGCCTTTAAATGATTGCACCCGAAAGGGGTCGGAAGGGCCCGGGAGGGCTAGATGGACGGGAGGTCGTGTTTGCACATATTCCGGCCAGGGGGCTGGCTATACCAGAGGGCGATACTAGTCGTGAGGGATGCTAGAAGGGGACTCCGCCCTTCACAATTCAGATCGATACGACGAAGTGAAGAGGCTACACGCTCTAAGTCTTACCGCTTCGGAGAAGAGAGGGTTACTCTCGGATGAGACTGTTTCCCAGGGAAAAAATATACATAGATCGTACCTACTGCGATTTGAAATAAGCGGATTTCAAAATTTAACACAATAGATTACTAAAAATGCAAAGGATTTGTTTTTTCACGAAAACTATAAAAAATATAAAGAAATTGTTTATAAAACAAAGAAGATTATTTATGATGAACACAAAAGAATTAAAATTTAAAAAATCTGTTTAAAATCAAACGTGTTTGTCATTTTATTGATGCAGTACAAGAAATGTAAAGACAAAAATAAGCACCCTTGCGTAAGCTGCGTTTTTTGAACCCCCAGTTGCTTTTAAACTTTTTACTTACAACTTCAAAAACTACTTTTTTCCTAAAAAGGTTAACCCACCTTTAATATTAAAAATGTCTATCTTTATTTTTTAATCATAAATCATGTCCATCATTACTCTATTAGTGAGGTTTTCCATTTGCGTATTCTGATGTTTATGCTTGTTTTAGTTTCATTTTAAACTTGACAGAGGACAGAAGGAATTTTTTTACACGTTCCGGCTCGTTAATTTGTTTACAAAACCTGAACAGAATATTTATCAGCATTTTGTTGAAAGGGGTTTTACTGAAAGAGATATCGGTCGACTGTTGGAAAAATATTTTTTATAAAGTTAACGATCATGTTTGTTTTCCTATTCTTGCTTTGGTGGCTTTGGTTGGTTTGATCTTTTTGGCGCGATTTGTCAGTATTGGGTCTGGGTTACGTTTTTGATCGAGTGTTTTTTATAAAGTCATGAGAGTCGCCGATAAAACAATACAGAAAAAAATAATCTGTTACGTCCAAATTACACGTTCATCCGCTGTGGACCAAATGGAGAAATCTCCCAATTATTTTTCAGGAGATACGAACGATAGTAAACAACGTAGCGACCTTCAACTTCAAATGTGACGAACTGCTTAAACGAAGAGAATTCCCATCCTTGAAAGCACTTGCGTCCAACCTTGGCAACTTGTAGACCGACAGTTTTCAGACACCTAAAATTAATCTGAAAAGTTAAAAAGTCGTTAAGAAGGTCTCTCGTGAACTAAATAACCTTCAAAAGCTGTAATTTTAAGACACCTTGTTCTTAGCGCTTTTAACGCGGTGTAAAACGGATCATGTACGTATCAGTGGTTAGATATCGTCCAAACACTTAGTCACATTCTAAATCCGATTTATTCTTTGTATAAAGGATATATTATTTTTTCCGTTTTCGGAAGTCAGAGATTTCATGTATTTCAACCCTACATTATACATACAGGTTGAGGTGAACAGGAAAGCATCGATAGCCATCTCTTTTCCAACGCAGAAAATAAACATGTTATAACGAACATGATACTTATACCAAACATATCAATATAAAATGAAAATACTATTTTTTTTCGTTTAGGGAGAAGGAAAATCCAAGGTGTATACACTAATAATTAAATAACTATA